CACTATACCTTTTCTATAGAAAGCAGGGATGTTTAAATATGTGCTTCTATTTGTTAGCAAAGTTTGTAGGAAAGTATAGTTTTTATTTATTTAGAAAATATGGATGTTTTGCTCGTTAATTTTCCTGTTGGAACAGAGTAGATTGACCCTGAGTTTCTGGCGCCTATCCGCTTTCATCCCCCCTGCCTGGCCACCCTTATAAAGATTTCCTGGCTACGCCTCTGGTCAGAACGCGCAGCCCCTCGGCTTCTCTGGAACCTTCTCTAAAACGCAGACGCTTTCTTCATGGCTGCACGCTTCAGTGGAACCAGAACGTGAACAGGACTCTGCTTCCTGCTGCTATGTGGAGAACCTCTGGTCCGAATGAGAATATGAGCAGCTCCAGAACCGCAAAGTAAAACAGCATTACGGTGATAACTTCCAGCTCCAGGACAAAACCCGGCGGCCAATCAGCTGGTTAATAGAGCAGGAGGAAGGAGAACTGTGCAGATGTTCTACTTCCTGGACCTGGATTATCCACCTCTGGTCAGCGCTATGGGCTGATGAGCTAACGGAGGAAAGCTCATTGATCGGTGCAGAGGAAAAGGCCCGTTTCCTTCATGTCTGCTTCTTTATCATCAGCCTGCATGAAGCGTGAAATGAATCATAACCTGATTTAGCAGGAAGCAAACGACCCGAACCGAACAAGGACAGAAGCCAGAGTTTGAGCTTAAAGCGGCGGTGAGCAGCAGGCCTCCATCAGACCTGAGGGCCATAATCGGTCTCCGCCAAGTGACGTCGATTGTTTACCTCGGGCGCGGTACACTACGCCTTTTCCACCTAAAATGGCGTCTTAGCAACAAACGTCACGTGACTGGCGGAGACCGATTTTCCTAAATCCGCCCCTGTTTTCAGGCTTATGTTAACTGTAATGACTTATCTTGGACAGGCTGCTATGTAAAGGGGCCTTTAGTCCTTCGTTTAGCTATGCTGCGGTTGTTTACACTACGCCTTTTCCACCTAAAATGGCGCAAACAAAAGTCACGTGACTGGCGGAGACCGATTCCAACTTTTCTCCAATTAGAAACTTGATGTTTGGATCTTTTTTTCCAACCTGCCCCTTAAACATTAAACCTGAACTGGTTGGATGAACTGAAACTGTTTGTTTAATGTTCATTCCTGAAGTTTCTGGTCGATGTCAGATTTTATTGGCATATTAAGCGTTTTGAGTCCTACATTGGGGGCCATTTAGGGG